CCGTAAAGTTTTTAAGTTCACCAAAAAGAGACAGATTTTTGCTTGTTTGTTATTAAACACAAAGCTACACAAACGGGCTGTCTGTATTGTGTCAATCGCGAGTATCGAACCCCGATGTTAACGTTATGATGAGAGAATGATTGTTTACTCGTCATGAACTTTGACGGTTGGAGTCTCTTACCGCGCTTTTATATTGTTAAACAAGTTATTTAACAGTTCACGAAGTCTCTATAACAACAAATATCCTATCTCATAATTGCGTTACACAGGTATTAACATAACCGGACCCGGTGGTTAGGGAACTCGACTCGCAATCTGAGGGTTGCGGGTTCGAATCCCCGGCACACCAAACATGCTCGCCCTTTCAGCCGTGGGGGCGTTATAATGTGACGGTCAATCCCACTATTCGTTGGTAAAAGAGTAGCCCAAGAGTTGACCGTGGGTGGTGATGACTAGCTGCCTTCCTTCTAGTCTTACACTGCTAAATTAGGGACGGCTAGCGCAGATAGCTCTCGTGTAGCTTCGCGCGAAATTCAAAATGCAGGATACGATCCCATAGGCACACGTTTAACCGTGAATCTGCCTTAAATATAGCAAAGTTCAGAAAATACAAATAATAACATTGTACTCTTTATTTCGTGTTTATTCTTTTTAATAAAGGGAAGGCGTTCATTCTGGAGTGGGTGTCTATTCACTTAGTTTATGATGTTTTATTGTGTCTTCTTTAACATGAGCGGTCAGGGGAAAACGTTAACCTAAGTTCTCTTTTTTTTAAATAAATTACTAAACTAACCGCTAATGTTAAAAATAATCGATCGTATTCACCAGTTAAATAAACGCATTCGCATAAACTGGTAAAACTGACATCATTATTCAGCAGAAAAAGAAGTGTAGGATATGCAAATATTGGGTTAATCGCATTTTGTAAGATCGATTTACATATTCAAATACGCAGAAGTGTTGGCATCAATCACAGCCACGGCGCCTGGCGGACCGACATGATCAGCACATGAGGGATTTTCGACTACTTAACGGTGCCACAGAAAGATTCGTGAAAGGAAGAAAACGTAAGGGCAGTTTTAGAGGACGAATATTTGTATATAGATTTTTTTTATACGATTTAGAGCCGAAAGACGCAACATTTCGACGGAAAAAAACTCTTAATTTTTCTCCATAGAAACCATAAAATCGTACAAAGAAACGTTCATGACAACAAACAGTTCCGAAACCTAATCCGAAGCAGCGATGCTTTTATCCCCAAAAAAAAAGAGGGCTATAGTTACGAAACAGAACCCTTTGACTCAAAAAGTATTTTTGAAATGAAGCTGAGCATATCTCCTGGTACAGTTTACAATATAAAAAAAGCAAGGATTTGAAGCTGGTAAAGACATCTAACCATCTAGCCACACCTCGAAATGTGAACCAATTTTCACGAGAAAGATGACCAGAGAAACTTATATTACAATAATCTTATTCAATGACATAACTGTCAAGTTCCCAGATGCAGCTTCAGTTTTTTTTGTTTTTTTGCCACCTAAAATTGGTCTTAGAAGCTGATATCCATGTATCGTGGAAGATCTATAAAAAGTATGTCAAGTGTGGTCTAAGACTGACCTCGTGTATCGTGGAAGATCTATAAAAAGTATGTCAGGTGTGGTCTAAGACTGACCTCGTGTATCGTGGAAGATCTATAAAAAGTATGTCAAGTGTGGTCTAAGACTGACCTCGTGTATCGTGGAAGATCTATAAAAAGTATGTCAAGTGTGGTCTAAGACTGACCTCGTGTATCGTGGAAGATCTATAAAAAGTATGTCAAGTGTGGTCTAAGACTGACCTCGCTATCTTTAATAGAATTTCCTCGCAGTGAAAATTGCAGTGTAAGGTAGTAGATCATGTCAGAATGAACATTATCCACAGCAAACGATATAGTACTAAAGGCAGCACGGGACCTAGAAGATCGTTCGTATAAAGAGCGATTAACTGGCAGCCTGTTTACCGTAAGCCATCACGGGTTTAAAAATATCGGGTTTGAACTGCAAAGTCTTTGTTTCAGAGTTTCGCGCAAAGCTAATTTTGGACTGATAAGCTAGAACTGAATGAATTGTTTATAACACTTAGTAAATAGAAGATTACCAAATTACAGTTGATTTTCCCAAGAGCGTGTAATTCAATTATGTGGATCTAAATAATTCCCTTTGTTTGTTTGTTTTGAATTTCGCGCAAAGCTACACGAGGGCTATCTGCGCTAGCCGTCCCTAGTTTTTGAAGTAATTTACTAGAGGGAAGGCAGCTAGTCATCACCACACACCGCCAACTTTTGGGCTACTCTTTTACTAACGAATAGTGGGATTGAACGTAACATTATAACGCCCCCACGGATGAAAGGGCGAGTATGTTTTTGTGACGGGGATTCGAACCGATTGCGGGCCGAGTACCCTAACCACCTGGCCATGCCGGGCCAATATTTCCCTTTTACAGCTATTTAGCATATAATATGGTTGATACGCGGTCAGGATTTGTTAGTTTGTAGCGTTTGACAATACTTTTGCGCCCCGTGTTTCGTAAATTTAACGTTATCTCGCATTACAACCCCTCTAAAAAAAAACTAATAATGAAAAAAGTTAAGGAACTAGTAAACTGAATGGGTTTCAAGTTTTTTATATTCACAACAGGAAATATTTAGAGTGTGGAGTTTATGTTTATTGAGAATATCGACTCACCTGACCAATCCTTACGTGTCTTATATTGTAATCTTCTGGTATGCTTGATCTATTTTAGACAGTTTTCGTAACAGCTTATCTTTAGAAAAACTTAGATATGATTGAACTTAAGTTCGTATGTACACTTAAAATGCAAGCTTCGTCCAGACGAAAAAACTGGTGAAGCAAAAGCCTACTGATCATTAAATCACCTAAGCCAAATCTGAAGTAATTCCGTAGGGTTTTAAAAAGGAAGTTAGCGTAAGAATTACTCTACTAAAATACTTCGTGCTCACACAATGTTTGATCGCTCCTGTACATTCCTAGGATATGAAATTTAACGATATACACGAAGTTGCAGTTTGGTGGTTATTAAAACATTCATAACCAATCAGTACATAGTGTAGAACTTTATCTTGGTAAATTCTAGAACAAACTGAACATCTTTGGACTATTATGTAGCGGTAACAACTTTTTGCTGTTTTGATGCTTTGCTCCATTTCTTTTATATTAGGGCGGACCACTTCAAACCCATATGTGAAAGGGTTTGTTTGTTTGTTGAATTTCGCGCAAAGCTACACGAGGGCTATCTGCGCTAGCCATCCCTAATTTAGCAGTGTAAGATTAGAGGGAAGGCAGCTAGTCATCATCACCCACCGCTAACTCTTTGGCTACTCTTTTACTAACGAATAATGGGATTGACCGTTTCATTATAACGCCCCCACGGCTGAAAGGGCGAACATGTTTGGTGTGACGGGGAGTGTGAAAGGGCTAATGTTTTCCAAAAAAACAGTGATAACAAGGTATTCAAAATGAACCAAAAAGTACACAGTGTTTACAAATTTATAAATATTTTTGCCAGTGAAAAGTTATAACACGCTCCCAGACCTGTAAGTTCGGAGCGTGTACAG